TGAATACTAGAACCTATTCCTTCTATCTAACTGTATTTTCCACCCCTTGCTTCTGTAAATTAAGTTTTATGGGAACACGGTTGCACCAGGGTTTTTAGTGGCTGCTTTCAAACTACGGTGGCCGAGTTCAGCAGTGGAGTCTGCACGGTCTGCAAGCCCAGACTTATTTACTGTATGGCCCTTTATAGGAAAACTTACCGACCCTGAACTTGATTATCCCTATTGATTTTGGCTTATGATGCCATGCAGTACAACCGAACCACACAAAAGCCTACTTCATGTGTTTCTTGCCCTCTTTATTTAGATACCGTTTTATTCTTAGAAGGATTTAATTTGCTCACAAAAATGTATGTAGCACATAACTGCATACATGTAAATTTCAGATAGGAGAGTAAGGAAATCAGGGCGAAGCGAAAATGAGAGGAGAGACGATGAGAAGCACCTGGGGGGAGGGGGAGGGCAGGAGATGAGACTGCGTAAAACGCAAACCTGAGAAGCTCTATATTTTTTCACGGGCCACCAACTTGGCCTTGAGCAGCCACCACAGAGACACACGATCCCTCTCCCAATTTAGAGCATTCATTGGATGTTCACCAGGAAAACCACAACAACCCCTGGTGCAAAAAGAAATCTTCATCCCGGGCGTCTGCGCACAAAGCGGGTAACATGAGATGCAGTGAACAAAGTCCTCAAAGACACCCAAACGGTAGGGAGAAATCCTGATGACATTACAGCTATTAATATATCACAGTTTCCCTCGGTCTGGGCCAACTCCAAATCCCAAAGCGGAATTTATCAGCAATTCTTCCAGCATGTTCCAAAGCTTAAAAAAAAAAAAAAAAGCAAACGTACTACTTTTATAATGAGAGAATAAATGTTTTTTAATTAAAGAAAGACAAAGGATCAGACAACTGACTTGTTTGGAAAAAAAAAAAATAATAATAATAATAATAAAAAAAAGAAAGACAAAGGAAACAGTAACCCTTGACAGCCTGGCATTCACTTTAATGCAGACTCCCTTAGCATTGTGCTCCAAGAGAGGGTTCCGTCCAGACTGGCTGTTTTGGGGCAGCTAAGCATGAGTGCCAGAGAGAGGGAGGAGACAAAAACAGGCTGTTCTGAGACCTGGAGCCGTAGGGTCAAGGAATTTTTGTCACTTTGATGATAAGCCTCCAGGTGTTAATTATAAAAAGCACTGGTGAATGGTGATTATCATTTGTCATTTCTTAGATGAAGCTTTACAACTTCATACCTTGTTTATCAATATAAATAACACACACTCTGCATCTCTGTTGCTCACTGCTTTCTGTCCAGTGCCTTGCACTGTGCCAGGAACAGGTGAGAAATAAACACCTTATTGAATGACTGATACGCTTGTCCGAGAGATCCCACAGATATTCTGAGGCTGTGCTGGCAAGGCCTTCCCCGGCTGGGCCTTCTCCACAATGGCCTATCTTCGAGATTCTCACCCGTGACAATTAGACAGGTGAGGAAGAGGCCCAGCTTGGCGGAGGCCAAGCTCCTGAGTGTGCGTCAAGGAAAACAAATTAAAAATTGAAAAGGGAAACTGAACAGCCCGGTGTTTCGTCTTGCTTTGGTCCCACTGTTGCAGGGATAAACATTTGGACAGCTCAAGACAAACACAGCTTTGGGTTCTGAACAGGCAGAGCTGCCTCCTCTTGCATGCCGAGACTTCAGTGTAAAACCTGTTCTTTGTTCAGAGCAAGGACCTGCCTGCTCCTAAAGGAAAGGCCTGTTCTCAAAGGTACCTCCTGGAGCTCTGAGATGCCGGCTCTCTGCACAGTGGGACCTGCTCTGCTCTGAGTGGTCCCGGCAGCCTGGGCAGGACTTTCTCCAAGGAGACCTTTGGAGAGCAGCTGGCACCTTGAGCAGTCCCAGGCAAGGAGGCCGGGGCAGTCCGCACTTCTACATGCAAATGCTAGGAGAATCAGGCCAAACAGCCTCAGGATCTAACTGGCTCAAAGATGGTAATGTCAAAATGTCACAGCCAAAGCGACAGCTGGCAGTGGCTTAGAAAAAGGAAAGCATTGTCCTTGACTGGGAAGCAATGACAGAGAAGGAGCACTAGACTGGGAGTCTGGAGGCCCATGGCCACTAGCCTGGCTCTGTCACACAAAGTTGCATGTTTTTAGGCAACTCATTGCCCCTCGTATGCCTTGATTTTCTCAGCTGTAAAAAAGGGATGAGTTCACAGATGAAGACAGGCTTGTTTCCTTGTAAGAAACCCTACAACACAGCCATACGGGAGATATGGAATGAATAGGACGTGGTCCTTGCTCATCCAACCGACTGTAACGTACAGAGCCTAGCACGGTGCCCTCGGTAATGCGGTTGCTGGCAGTAGCCCCGAGGTGGCTGTTGGGTGTGCTTGGTCCTATGAGGTCTGCTTTCATGATATCACCCACCTGCGTCCGCTGCTTGGTGCTAGTTCAGGGCTTCCCTCACCAGGACCACAGCAGCCGTCCCCTCTGGTCCTCCCTACCCTAACTTGTCCTAGGACCTCCAAGCTCCTGCCTCATCCATCTGGTCTCCACCTGTCCTCCAGCTCTCTCTGTACAACAACCAACCATGGTACCCCTCCCTCAAAACCTCCTTGTCCTGCAAACTCAGCCCAAATTCTTTAGCTTGGCCTTTACAGTTCCAACAAGCTATCTCTAGTGCACCTTCCCCTTCTTTTGTGTCTGCAGCCCTCTGTTCCCTGGGGCCCCAGGCTCCTTCCCTTCTCCTTGGCTCTTCTCTCTGGAAGGATTTACTCTCCTTTGACTTTCAAAATCCTACCTTGCATTTCAAAGCGCCACTCAAGTGCTTTCTGCCTTATTAGGTATGCATCTCATCTTCTGGCCCACCAAGCAGCGCCTTTCTTGTTTTCAAGCTTGGGGATGTTTTTATTTTTGATGTCTTCCCTTCCATAAATCATGTGCTCAGTTCATCTTGTAACGGAAGTTCCAGTTCAAAGGCTTTCCTCTCCATGAAGCCCCAAGAAGCCTTTCCGATACCCTCTACTCTCCCCTACCGCGGCCCCCTGCACCCCACGCAGACACACGCCGCTTCCGGACCCGGTGCGTACAATCAGAGCCATTCCTTGTTTTCCACAGGGATGAAAAAAACATAAACATTGGACCCAAAATTGGTGCTCAGTAACTCTTGGCTAATGCTAAAGAAGATAATTAGAACCGTCGATGATGGCCACATGGAAGGAGCAAGTGTCACATCTGTACAACCGGTTGGCTGCTGTTCTTCATCCACCATTGCCACCATGTGTATACAACGCGCTGCTCCCATTTTGTGCCCCGTGAATACCCAGACCCAGAACTCAGCCTCTCTAAGACCAGATCGGGCACATTCGGGGTGGTACAGTCACAGACTCAACCTCTGAGTTCCCAGTGCAGAATCTACGCGTACACAAGCACGCAAGAGCAATGGGGACTTTACTGAAGAGTCGGGGAGGGACACAGCCAACAGCAAGACACCTCCAAGTCCTCACTGGACACAGTCTCTCCTGGTCACAGGGGCCCGACTGTCCTCCTCCTCTGCCTTCCTCCAGGCAACAGCTAACCTCTCCAGTTCTCTCTCCTTCAAAACCTACTTGAGGTTTCTCCTCTTTCTATTTTGCCACCACTTGCTATCAGCCTTGGCTTCACACCCAGCCTTTCAGGAGACTCAGCTCTCAGCAGGTTCCTCAGCGAACAGAACCTGTACCCCTCGAAGGCTGCGTGGCCAGCACCTTTCACTCCTTGAGCACGAAATTACCTGTCGTATTCCTTCCCTCAAGCAGTCTGTGATATACTCGTCCTAAACTTAACATTGAGTTCTCCCCACGAAGGATTCTGATAAGTGGAATTTTTACCACCTCCCTCCGGCCACTCTTCAGCTGCCCACTGGGTTTTTGCCATGAAACACAGAGGTAATGACAGCTACTTTCCAGTGTCCCTGCCTGATCTTTGATCCGCCCAGCAGTCAGGATGTCCCCATGAGCCAAATGACTCCCGACGGAGCCCTACCTTCAGGCCCATACAAAACAGCTTCCAGAATCACGATGAGAAATCGCCGGGAATGCAGCATCTTCTCAGGGAAATGCCTGGCCCAGAGCAGACCAAAGAAAGCCGGCAAGCAGGGCTGCCCAAGCAAGGAGCCAACTGTAGCAGGACCACAGGCCTGCCTAGGGCGACCAATTCGTCCCAGGGCTGCACTGAAAGACTCATGTCCCAGGGAGCCCCCAGTCCCAGGCAAACTGGGACAGTTGGTCCCAGGCCTGTCCCACCCATGGTCCTTGCCAAAACCCAGGGGCTCGCCAGTCCAGCCAGTGAACCAGGCTGAGGTCAGAGATGCAGCAAATGCACAGAGAAGGGGCAGGACGCGCAAGCTCCAGGGCAGGTGGGCCCAGGACAGGGCCTCATGAGAAGGGCACACGAGCACGCTCCGAGCACAGGGCCAGGCAAGCCCACGTGGGCAGCTGTCAGGTCTCAACACCAGATGACTAAGGGTCTCCACCACGGATGGGATCCAGTTAACGCCGTGCAGGGGAGTGGAAACTGCCCCGGGGGGGCTCTCTAGGTGGCTGCCAGAGGACAGCAGTAACATCACCAGAAGGCCACCAAACACACACACACACACTCAGAACTCCCCGGATCCTCTCACTGATGGCCCTCTGTAGGCTTCTGGCATATGTTTCCTGGACTCCCTTCTCTTCTCCAAGCTGGTTGAGCTCTGTGTGTGTCTGTGTGTGTGTGTACACCATCTTGCTCCCAACGGACCTTCTCTGCCCAGGATGCTAGTCCATTCTCTCCATGTCCCACCACAGACCACTGGTCTAGACATGCATGAGCACACAGCCCCTCCCACACAGCATGCAACCCCACCTCCCGTTAGCCAGTGACCTGGAGAAGACCCCCGCCCCACCCCAAGCATCACATCTCATAAACACAGCCATCCTGGCCCGGACAGCAAGGCCGCCCGGCGTGGCGGGTGTGGAGACTCACCAGGACTCTGCCAGTCAGCGTCTGGGCGGATATCATCACCCCGGCCCAGTCCTTCACCGAGGTCATCCAGCCGACCTCGGCGGCCACCGTCTCCTCTTTTTCATCCACTGGTTTGAGAGTGCCGTCTGCCTGGCTCGCGCCATTGTTTATCTTCTGGGCCTCCTGGTAACAGAGAGAACGAGAGTTGAGACATAGGGAACAAGTGGATTTAGATAACACACCCTGCTCATATGGCACCGAGGCCCACAGGGGTCCCCAGCTGAGTTGGGGAACTGGCTTAAAGGTACAAGAGAAGGAGTGGATTATAGCTTTGATTGTTTTTGTTAAAAATCTTTCTTTAAAAAAATAATCTTTTCTTTATTTCCTCTTAAAATATTTTAGTGAAAGAGAGAAAGAAAGATAATACCATTCTTTTCCCATTTTAAAGAAAAACACCCAAAGCTCAGGAGGGAAAGCAACCTGGCCAGGATCTCAGAGTGCTCAGGAGGGAGAGGTGGGAGGCATGCTGTGGTCTTTGCCTGCCCAGCCCTCACAGCAGAACCCCCAGTTCTCTTTAAGGAAATTCCCATCTCTTCACTTATGCTATGTGGTTCAAAAGGGACTGATGGCCCCGCCTTGGCTCCAGCAATGGAGACTAGTCAGTCAGTCCATTCTACCCACTCCCTGACAACAGCAATCGGCCAGGGTGGTCACATGACCCATGCTGACCCGGTAAGACTCAAGCCTGGAACATTTGCTGAAAGGAATAGGAAAAGTAATCCTTCCCTGAGAATGAAGCCACCACAGAGAAAAGTAGAAGCGATAGAATACTGGTGTCACCATTTGAACACCTGGATCCAGCTGTGCCTGAAATCCATATAGGACCCTTACAAGTACAGGAGACAATCAATTCCTCTTCATGGCTTAAAATGTGCTTCAGGAAACAAAGCTGATCTCATCAGATAACTGAGCCCCACAGGGGGCCCTAAATTGTATACCTTCGCACATAATATATGCTCTGCCTGGAATACTCTTCTTCCACAGAGGCTCATAGCTTACTCCCTGATCTCCTTCAAGTCTTTGCCCAAATATCAGCTTCTCAATGAAGTTTTCCCTGGCTACCCTTTTAGAACTGTAACCTCTTCCCCTCCAACAGCACTTTTCTGCTTTTTCTCCATAGCACTTAAACCCTCTAATGCACTCTATAATTCATTTACTTATTTCACTCACTGCCTGCCCCTGCTTACTGCCTGTAGCCCTGTGCCTAATGTAGTACCTGGTCCATAGTTGGCTCGATAAACATGAACGAATGACTAAAAATTATTATGAGTATTTATTGGCCTGGGCTTAGCATTACCAGATAAAATACAAGACACTCATTTAAATTTGTATTTCAAATAAATAATAAATAACTTTTTAGCATAAGTATGTCCCAAATACCGCCTGAGACATACTTACACTAAAAACTCCTTCATTATTTATCTAAAATATAAACTGAACTGGACCCGTACTCAAATGCCCACTGAGTTTATTACTGCAGATGAAGATGTTTAATAAGATGCCAGCAAACTCTACTCATCATTTTAAGCCCTAGAATTAATTTCCAAAGCAAAGCCCCACTGAGGACCAATGACTTGAACCAAGGACAGAGGCGAAAATCTTTGTCTGCAGTGCGTAGGTGTGGGGAGAGGGCCCAGGGCGGCTTGGTGGCGGGTGGGAGGGCGCATTGCCTGAGGCTTCTTCCTGGGGAGGTGGGCACCACAGGTAGGAAGCTGCTCCTGATTCTGGTTCTCTCCCTCCGGCTGCCCTGGCTCGGGGAAGCCGGGGAAGGGAGAAGCAGCAGTCGCAGCCGATGCTAATGTTTAGCTCCCAAGCGTGTTAAGCCCCATGGAGCTAGATCAGTCCCAGAGGAGGCCTGGTGGGAGAAGGCCGCAGGGTGGACGTACTCGGAGGCCGCCTGCTGCCCAAGCCTGCTGGCCAGTGCCGGTGGCCAGTTAGGACTTGTCCTGGCCCCCAAGTCTCAGCCCTGTGACTCTCTGAACGTGCGGGTGTCCAGGAGGAGGCGGAGGCCCTGATCTAGGGGCTGCCATCGTCACTGCAGGTGCATTCATAGATTCAGGGTGAAACTCTAGCTCTCCGCCACTGTGGACCTCCTCTGCAAGACAGGGGCAATACTGCCTGCCCCACAGATTCTGTCGGGATTGAAGAGTACCAAATGGCACAAAATACAGGTTCGACCCAGCACCTCTGTGTCCTCGTGCCACTGGCGCTGTATAGCAGTGGTTCTCAAACAAGCGGGCAACAGAAGCAAGCTGAGGGGCTGGCTAAACCACCCAATCACCCGCATTTGTCCCCCTCTCCCAGGTAATTCCGACGCTCCTGGTCTGGGGACCCCACTTTGGGAACCATAGGCCCCGACCATGCTGGTATGGCTTGGTGACCGCTGCCCTTAACACAAATGCAAGATGGGTCTTAACCCCCAGCTTTCTCCTGGCCTCCTCCTCCCCACAGGGACAGGACCACCTGCTTCTTTCAGAACTGGACAATCATGCGGGGATAGGAAAGGGGCGGGGTAGGAAGAAGGCCTTCAAATCCAGGCTCTGGTAATTCCTTTTGAGTCATGCCTCCCAGGATATTTCTGAACTGGTTCCTGGCCACCAGCTGGGGCTAGCCCTCTGCTCCTCCACCCTTGGGGGCTCAGGTTCCCCAGCCCCTGGCAGAGCCCAGAGAAGAGAAATGAGCAGGAAAAGCGCTGGGCAGGGGGTCCCCTGCAGGCACAGTGGTTCAATGCATCGGTAATTCACAGAACATGGAGGTACATGGCAGATAACATTATTTTGCCAGCCCTCTTACCTATTGTTTTACAAGGCATTCATTATTTTAATTACTTTATGATAGGCAAGGAAAAACACAGACTAAAGGGAGATAATGTCCTTGTTATTATTTGTTTGCACTGTGGATGTGGTGAGCTTAATTACCACACGTGGGAAGCAAGGCTGGGGTGGGGGAAGGGCACTCTACGAAGTCTGATGCCAGCTGGCCGGGCTGGTCACAGTCCTGCACCTGAAGGGAGAGGCCACTCTCTCTGCCACCAGCCGCACTCTGGCCAAAGCACCCCTCATCGGGAGCAGGTATTATAACCCCATGCTCCAAAGAAAAGTGAGCAGAGGCCCAGAAGGGTTAAGTGGCCTTGCAGGGAACACTCAAGAGGAGATGGCAGGGGGCAGAACCCATTATAACAGGGATGGCCATCATGTATCAAGCCAGCACCAGGTGCCAGCACCTAAAAGTTAAGGGTTTTCTATGCATAATCTTGCTCAGACCTCATAATAGATCCAACAGGCAGGTGGAATTATCCCCATTTTACAGACAGGGCAACTGAGAGCAGGTATCTCTCAGGCGAGGGCACAGAGCCCACCAGGGCCTGGGTCTGCTCCACCACTTGCACGCTGGCTGGTGGGATGTTAACCCACCAGCCTCGGCCTCCTCTGTGTAAGATGTGCTGAGCCTGTGTCCCGTTAAGGTGCAGGGGAAGCGTCAGTGAGGCAAGCCACCACAGCACTGGGCACAGCAGTCACAGCTGCCCTGAAGGAGCACCCACTGATGGGGCTGGTGGCCTTCGAGGATATTCAGTTGTGGCTGCTCCACTTCCATCGACTTGTGGCCCTGGAAAGGACACTGGCCCAGAGTGAACCTTTGATAAATAACCACAGAACAGAGGATAAACGAGTGTAGGTTCTGATGGCTCTTACCCTCCAACTAGGCCCTGGGCCCTGGGAGGTAAGGTCCCCCGACTCCCGGAGGGGTTCTGGTCGGAGCTGTGACCCCCGCCCAGGACAGCAGGGATCCCCACACGGGTGGACCCTAGACCAAACAACATCTTAGACCCTTCTGACTCTAAGTTCCATGACATCGACGTCCCATTTCGAGAAGAGGAGGCTGAGGACCAGAGAAAGGCTGCCTCCTGGGTCCCAGTGCCCTGCTCTGTCTCCTGTACTTCATGGGCACGGCCTCAGAGGGGGGAGGCTATTGGTTCTGAATGGCAAAGTGAGCATCCGCCCCCCCCAAGCCTTCCACTGCCCATTGCAGGGGGCAGGACCCAGCCCCCACGCAGGGAGGGCTTCTGAGTAGGACCAGACAGGCTGCCCTGGCGTCAGCCAGGAAGTCACTGTGTGAGTGAGTGTGTGTGAGTATGTGTATGCGTGTGCGTGTGTGTGTGTGTGTGAGTGTGTGTGTGTGTGTGTGTGTGTGTGTGAGTGTGCGTGTGCAGGTGTGTTTGAGGCATGGGGTGTAAGAGAGCGAAGCCCTGCTGGCTGCGGGCTCCAGCGACCTCAAGAGGACAGGCCTCCAGATCTTCCGAAGTGGAGGAAAAAGAGCCTTGGGAAGAGAGAGGAACATGGAGGGAGCAGCAGGGAGAAACGAGGCCTGGGGCCATGGGGTGGGGACACTGTCCCAGAATGCAAAGTCTCCCAGGAGCCCTCTCCCTGCCCCTGATCAGCTCCCTGAAAAGGAGGCTCAGCCTTGCTTTGGAGGCCGCTCCACCCCTCTGCCGCCAGCCCTGCCCTCTCTCCCCATCAGAGTCCCCACATCTAGTCTCAGCACCCACAACCGGAGGGTACAGGAGGCCTGGGGACACCAAAGAGCACAGTGGCCACAGTTCCCTCCTGCCACCCACCCTACCAGGCTGGGCCTGACCACACGGTCTCAGCCCCTTTTGCCCTGTCCCCATTCTTTTCAGCACTGTTCTCCACAATGACTTCCTGTTGACATGGTCACAGAGGGCCTCACCCCCCTCTTGCCACCATCACCTGGTCTTCAAGACAGAGACCACCCATCTGTTGGGTTTGGGCTTCCCCCCTGGATCACAAGATCAGAGACCAAAGCCTAGAAAGGACCTTGGCAATGCCTTTAGAATGCCACCCCTACACACACGCCATACAGATGAAAAAACTGAGGGCCTGGAGGGAGAGCCACAGCCCAGTGCCACCCAGCCCAGCCAGGTGACCGAGCCAAGACATAAGCCCCCAGCTGGCTCTGTTCCTCCTGTCTCTTGTTGCCTCTCCAGCAAGATGATTGCTCCAAATCTAGCCCAAGCAACTCACTCACTCCCAAGCAGCTCCCTCCACGGCCCCAGCCTGCAACCTGGAGTTCAAGGTGTTCCCAGGACTGCCAGAAGCCTCCAC